GGAAATTCCTGTAGCATGGAAGAACGCCAACATGATCATAATGTTCAAAAAGGGCAATATAAAAGACATCAAGAATTACAGACCCATCTGCTTACTTTCTAACTTGTACAAGATTTACACCAAAATATTGACCGAAAGGCTAACAAGACAACTAGATGAAGCACAGCCAAAGGAACAAGCAGGTTTCAGAGGCCAGTACACCACTACCGATCATATGCACACTGTCAACCAGCTCAAAGAGAAATGTCTCGAGTATAACATTCCACTATGTGTAGCATTCATTGATTATGAAAAAGCCTTCAACTCAGTAGAAACCCAGTATATACTGGCATCCCTGCAAGATCTAGGGATCGAAGATGGATACATAGACGTCCTCAGAGACATATACACCGATAGATCTGTAACAGTCAAACTACACAAGACCACCAATAAGATCAGGATCAAGAAAGGTGTACGCCAAGGAGATACAATCTCTCCTAAACTGTTCACAGCAGCATTGGAACGTATATTCAGGGAGCTAGAATGGCAGGACAAGGGCATAAACATAGATGGTACCAAGCTCAATCACCTTAGGTTTGCAGACGACATCATAATAGTAGCAGATGATGCAAAAGACCTCGAAGAAATGCTGCAGGCGTTAGCAGATGAAAGCGCAAAAAGTGGGCTTAAGATGAACACCAGCAAGACAAAGGTGATGTTTGGACCACTAACCACCCCTTGCATAGTGAAGGTCAATACCAAAGAAATAGAAGCAGTAGAAGAGTATATATACCTTGGGCAACGGTTCAGCCTTAGTGATTGAACACTGGAGAAAGAAATCAAACGAAGGATAAAAGCAGGATGGGCAGCATATGGGAAGCACAATGACATCTTCAAGAGCAACCTTCCTACCTGCCTGAAAAAGAAAGTGTTCAATGCATGTGTGCTGCCGGCAATCACCTATGGCTCAGAGACCTGGGCACTGAATGCCTCCATGGAACACAAGCTACAAGTAGCTCAGAGAAAGATGGAAAGGATTATGTTGAACATCAGTCCAAGAGAGCGGAAAACGAATGTATGGTTACGTGAACAGACCAAAGTTAAGGACGTACTGCTCACAGTTAAAGAAATGAAATGGAGGTGTGCAGGACATGTCAAAAGAATGAAGGACAATAGGTGGACAGTCAGGCTTACAGAATGGACCCCAAGGTATGGACAAAGAAAAAGAGGAAGGCCGGTCAAACGATGGAGGGATGAATTAGATGACTACTGGAAGTCTTGGAAGAAGAAACCTTGGCCAAACTGGAAATCTGAGGCTCAGGATAGGAAACAATGGAAAAAGCATGCTGAGGCCTTTGTCCAACAGTGGAACACTATAGGCTCTAAATGATGATGATGATGATGATTATCATATATAGTTATTTTCTTATAAAGTTAGTTACAGTATTGATAAACAAAGTATCACGTTTTCAATAATTAATATTTTAAATTACAATCCATGTCTGCAAGGTTGTGTCAATAACCAAAACACAACGTTGAGTCAACGTCACATTATGACGGTGTTTTGACGTGGCTGGATCAACGTTGATTTTACGTTGAATTTAGGTAGATCAACGGCAATTCAACGCATCAACCTGTTTTCAACGTTGATCCAACGCGACTATGCCTGCAGGGAACCCGTCGCAAGTAAACATCGCAAGGTATGTTGCCCAAAGTAACTTGGTGAAGCAGTTAATATCTGAAACTAAAGACTCTTATTATAAAAGCCTAATCGAATCACTTGAAGTAAAAACAAATAGTAAGAAACACTATTGGCCAACACTGAAAAAACTTCTGGGTAATAAATTCAATTGGTCAATTGGAAATGTGAATACCGGTAATATTGCTAATTCTGAGGAGGAAAAAGTTGAGGCCTTCCTAAATCACTTTGGCAAAAGCTACCATTCTGATAATCTAACCTGTGATACAAATATCACTTTCCCACAAAGAACAGATGTTATTTTAACCGATCTCGACACAACACCCGAAGAAATAAGCTGTATAATAAATAGCCTGGACTCATCCAAGGCTAACGGACCAGACAGTATAACAGTAAGAATGTTAAAATTATGCAGTATATCCATTGCTTATCCGCTATGCATCCTCTTTAACTTGATACTGCAAACCGGTGTCTTTCCAGACATATGGAAAGAGGCACATCAATGCCCAGTGCACAAGAAAGGCAGCAAAACTGACATAGGGAACTATAGACCTATCTCATTGTTAAGCGTTATATCTAAGGTCCTAGAGCGGATCATATATAAGAGAACGATGAAGAGGAAGAAAACGATGCATTTGAACAGGTGGGATCTTTGGAGATAAACCAGGTTGACAGTGTTCGGGGAGCCATGATGACCAAGGTCAACATTGATGGTGTAGAGGTTGATATGGAACTTGACACTGGTGCAGCGGTAATGGTTATGCCCGTTGAACAGTTTGACATGTATTTTCCAGGTAAACTTGGGACATTAACTGCCACTGACTTAAGTTTGAAAACTAACTCAGGAGAAATCTTGAAACAATCGCATGGCTTATGGCGTTGCGTCGGCACCTGCTATATGGCAGCGTACAATGGATACGATATTGCAGGGCATTCCCCGCGTGAAATGTCTTATTGATGACATAATTGTGACAGATAGACCGCAAGAAGAGCACTTGCGTAACCTGGAAGCGGTACTTTGTAGATTGGATGCGTACAATCAACGTGTTAATTGGGAAAAGCGTCCCTTTTTCCAAGAGCGCGTGCCATACTGTGGTCATGAAATTGACCAGCATGGGTTACATTAGACAGAGGCCAAGACTGAGGCGGTGTTACAGGCACTGAGGCCTACCAATGTAACTGAGTTGCGCTCATTTCTAGGCATGGTGAATTACTATGCGAGATTTTTGCCAGATTTGTCAGCGGTGCTGTACCCGTTACATCAGTTGCTTGAAAAGGGAGTCGAGTGGAGTTGGACCTCGAAATGCAATGATGTTTTTGAAAGGGTTAAACACATGATGACCTCCGAGGAGGTACTCGCTCATTATGACCCAGAAAAGGCAATTCGGATTGCTTTGTGATGCTTCACCCTACAGATTAGGGTGCGTTTTGTCTCATGTAATGGACGATGGCTCCGAGAGGCCAATCGCGGTCTTTGACGCAGACAGAGAGAAAGTATTCTTAAATACAGTCATATGGCAACTGGCTGCGCGTAGGAAGATATTCAGAACGGAGCGCGTGCGCTGATATATATATGCGTATGTCCGTTTCATCCAGGTAATGTACACTCAAGAATCATAAGTCAAAGGATTATATTGGCATTTTGAAGCCAGTCTTTAGCTCTTTCGTCTAACGACTTAAGTGAGTCCAACCCTGGACACTGATGCAGCTGACAGGTCTCTACGATGTGGTTGGCTGTCTGTAGGGGGGCACCACACTCGCATGCTGGAGACTGACAGAGCCCCCATTCAAACATGTTAGCACAGAAACGGCCATGACCTGTTCTGATGCGGTTCAGTCGAGTCCATGATAGGCGATCCAGCTCATGTCCAGATGGTCGGGTGCTCACTTCAGGAATGAAGTCACGCAGTCTGCCATTTTGAAGGGCATCCCATTCCCCCTGCCATTTTACCATTCCCCATGTCTCTGCTGATATTTCATTTTTGCTCTCTTCTAACTTTCGGAAGTATGGCATCAGTGGAGCTCATGAGGAAAGCCTGGTAAATTCCTCATCTTGACGGAGTCGCTGGAACAATCTACAATAGCTCATGTGCTCTGTTGGCCAGTTGGAGACAGCGCTGATCTCGTCTGATGTCTGGGGGAAGTATGCTGCTTAGCACCGGGAGATATGGTTTTGGTGTTGATCTCAAACATCTTGTGATAAGCCTCATGCTGTTGTTTAGGGCTGCATCAATTGTCTTTGTATGGCTACTCCTGCACCACACAGGGGCGCAATATTCTGCAATGGAGTAAGCCAGGGCAAGGGAAGTAGTTCTCAGGGTGGGAAAGTTTGCCCCCCAGGTAGTTCCTGCCAGCCTCTTCAAGAGGGTGTTTCTCGCTCCAACCTTTGCAGCAACCTTGTTGATGTGAGCCCTGTAGTTGAGGCTCCGATCCAATGTGATGCCAAGGTACTTCGGAAACTTTTCAAAAGGTATGACGGTGTCACCACATCTCACTTCAAGTTCCTTGTTACTAAGTTTATTGGCCAGATGGAATAGGCTGCTGACTGTCTTGGTCTTGTTCATATTTAGCCTCCAATCACTAAAGTACTGATCAGTGTCTGTTAGATCCTGACTGAGTATATCATTGAGACCAGATATTGAGGTTCCAGAGGTCATGAAGGCGATGTCATCAGCATAGATGTACTTTTCACTAACTGTTTTAGGTAAGTCAGAGGTGTAGATGTTGAAAAGTATTGGTGCTACCACAGACCCTTGAGGTACACCATTTTTCAAGAATTTCTTTTTGGTCCTCGACTCCCCAATATGCAGTCTGAAGCTGCGGTTTGTTATCATTTGGAGGATCATACGAGTCATGTGCCTACTTGGTATACACTGGAGGAGCTTCAATGCCAACCCTCGATGCCATACTGTGTCATATGCTGCGGATAGGTCTACTACACCCTGAGCTTCAGAGATAACTTGACACTAACCTCTTCACTATAGCCTATCTTCATCGTGTCAAGTTACCTCTGACGAAAATAGTTTGACCTAGTTTATATAAGCCAATCGAATCCAAGTTTCAAAAATTTTCACCAAAGTTTGGTGAAAACGCTGATTGGTTGACCGTCAATCGGCAATCCTCGGCTGATTCCGCAAGCTCCATACTAACAACAAAGTTATTGTCGAGTGCGGAGACATCCGAGTAGTTCCGAGTGCATAACCGTACANAGTCATTGAGTGCGGGCTTTAAATTTGATTGGTGGGCAGCGGAGGCAATCGAATGTGGTGAGAGGTAACTTGACACGATGAAGATAGGCTATAGTGAAGAGGTTAGTGTCAAGTTATCTCTGAAGCTCAGGGTGGTCTACTAGGACCACTCCAGCCTTTTCCTTCCGTTGAAAGGCATCTTCAATGTCTTGGGTAAGTCGAGCTGCCTGGTCTAGTGTTGAGAAACCCTTTCGGAAGCCTGCCTGCTCATGTGGGAGTACCTCATCCACTATTGGATAGATTCTATTGAGCAAGAGCCTTTCCATGAGCTTGAAGCCAATTGTAAGTAGGCTGATTGGTCTATAGCTTTTTGGGTCGTCTGCAGGCTAACCAGGCTTAAAGATTCCTATGACCTTGGCCGTACGCCAGACTTTTGGACTTTTGATGTCAGCAATGCACTTTGAGTAAAAGTACTTTAGCCACTCCACTGTCTTCTCTGGAAGATGGGCATAGAACTCTGGGTGAAGTGAGTCTGGTCCTGGGGCTTTCCCTAGTTTAAGGGCTTGAATGGCAGTCCTTAGCTCATCGGTAAAAAAGTCATGGCATAAGTCTTGGTCTGCTGTGGGACAGTTCCAGGCCTCTTTGAGTTCTCTGTTGACCTTAGATATGAACTTCTTATTTGGAGCAGGAAACTTCCCATTTTCAATGAGACACTTTGCAATATGATTAGCTTTGACTGGTGGATTTGGTTCAAAGTGTTTGACATTTCCTGTCAAACGGTTCACCGTACGCCAAGCTTTCCGACTAGAGTGGGTAAAGTCTATATCTTCCACAGTCTGTGTCCACTTAATCCTGCGTGTTTCATCAAGGTGGTCAAGGAGCTGCTTAGCTTAATTGTCCATTTCATCAGCCTTAGTGGCCTGGTCGAAACAGTTTGCCAAATTTTCACATGCATCGTCCCATCCTGGTACATAGTTCTTTCGATGACCTCTTGGTATGGATGCTTTCGCAGCTCCCAAGACCGCACTGATAAAGGCAGAGTTAGCAGTATTAATGTCCTTGTTCTCAATGTCTGGAAGAGTGGTGTTGTTCAGTTTTGCTTTGTAGGTGTTCCAATCTGCTTTGCAGAAGTTCCATCTAGGCTGGTCAGAGGTGATGGTAGGTTTCACGATGGCTGGATGTGTTATCACTGATGGTCTATGCTGGGAATTGGGGAACCTGCCGATGACTGTTCTTTCAGCGTTTACTTGACCGTTGGTAGTGATGAAAGCTAGGTCTGGGTTTGAACCTGTTCCCCATCGACGAGATGTGAAGGAGCAAGGTTGTTTGCTGTCATAAAGCAAGGTAAGACAGAGGCTAGACGACCAGTGGGCAAGGTTTTCACCGTCCTGGCTGTTCTTCTTGTATCCCCATTCCGTGTGCTGACTATTGAAATCACCAGCGTAAATGCAAGGGTGCTGGAAGGCTGGTAGGTACGTGAAGGGTGTTGGTGGAGGCTTGTAGACGTTGACCACAGTGGTTCCCCCGATAGCCACAGCAATCCATTGGAGGTCGCTGTTTTGCGAGGTGTCCATGGTGGCAAAGTTCAGCCCAGCTCTGACTAGGGTAGCGATACCATGGTGGGCATGGTGTATGACTGCTGCAAATGATACCCATAGATCTTGATGTCAGAGTCTTTGGTGGAATGGGTTTCCTGCAAGAGGAGGATTTGAGCTGAATTTTCGTGAGTTATGTGTTGAATGACTTCACACTTGGCTTTGGTTAGTCCTTCAACGTTCAGCTGAAGAATGCTTGGTCCACATCTATCTTGAAAGATTCGATGGGCCATGGTGATTTTTGAGTAACGATACTTGGATGATCGTGACGTGTGAGAGATCTTAGCCATTGGAGCGTTTCCAGGGATCACCACGGGGAGGCGTCTCTCTCGATCCCCAGCGCTGAGATGACGTCGTGGTTGAAATTTTGTAAATTTCGTAACCAGCGCAGAAATTAAAAAATTGTACTTTGTTACCTCTGTAGGTGCTTATGAAAAATTGAGACATAGTAGCAGAGTTTATCACGCGTCTGTAAGTGTGCAATTTACCCAGATCAAAGTGAAATGAAGGAAATATAACTCGACAAAGTCGGCCAACATGCCGATTTTTATCCATAGCAACACCGTAACATTTTGAGATATCTCATTTCACAGAGAGTGTGCACCTTATTCAAGTCGATAGAAGATGATTTTTAATACGCAAAATAAACCTACTAAGTTTCATCAAAATTTATTCTGGCAGCTTTTTTGCCAGCTGTTGAAGTGCGTTTTTGACCCTATTCCGCTAGATGTCAGTCATATTCTGACTTCATTTTTTCCAATACAGAAGCAAGTGAAGGTCTGCTGACTTTTTTAAATATCGAATTCGAAGTCCTTTTTAATATCGAAGTCCTCTTTAATGTATATCACTTTCAGGCTTCTATTTGTATGTGTAACAAAAAGTATCGCTAATTTAATTGTGGTTTGATTATTGTTGAGAAGCTTGCGGTACAGATAAAATAAGAAAACTGTTTTCTCTCATCCCATCTGCCATAAACAGGTTATAAGCATGCCAGAAAACATATTGGCATATACAGGCAGAAAAGCTCCTCATCTGTGAATTCTGAAATAATGAGAAATAAAGAAGCTGACAATAATTGTAATGAAATTAATAACAATAAAGAAAAGAGCTAACTAAGCAATTTTAGAATACGCTGAGGTACATCATATTGGTACATGGCAAACCCATATGTCATTGAAATGATAGTTAAAACTAAACATCATGATGCATGAATTGCGTTTTACTCTAGAAGGCCTGCTTTACAAACGTTATCATGAACCAGAAATACCTTTGTTAAATGTTTGTCATCCTTTTCTGTTCTAGAGTTAAGCTACAACCCGCAGTAGATCCACAATCATACGCCTCTCTCACTTCTTTACACGTGTTATGTAGGTCAACATATAATCTCCTGCATAAATGATATTAGATTACGTAAATCCAAACCCTTTTCCTAAGGTAAGGGCTTTCAAAAAATGATAAATTCTCATTAATAAAATCATACAAAAGTGGTCCAACTTTCCAAATGCATATCCACAAGCACATGTTGCCTTTTGCATATCATGCATATCAAGAATAGGTGAAGGTCGTTCATAAAAATACTCACTGAAACTAGTTCAAACTGGATGTGTGCGATTCAGCATCGATTTCAGGTTAGTTTCAATTAAATGTGAATAAAAAATGTAACCTTAAACGGTTTTTGGATAGAAAAAATTCATAGTTTGGCAGAGGTATCGAGAAGTGCCATTTTTTTCAAAATTTTTGTTGAATGTTGGATTAGGGAACCGTGTGACCATACTAGAGAGTATGCAAACTATTCCCTTCAAAATCATAAACTTTGGATGATATTTTAACTCATATCTAAAAATGAAAAAAAAATCAGGCTTGCAACTTTTTTTCTAGCAATCATGAACCCCTACGAGAGTCATTTTGGGATCGATTTTTTTTTTCAAAAATTCAAAATCGTGAACTTATTTCATTTAAATTTATGGATGTTTCAGTAATCCTTTGATGTCATGAGTAAGAGCATGAACTTTTCTTATTATCTTTACAAAATCACAACTCAAAAATCCCTGGTTTGTTTTTAAAAGTATTTTATTTGCAAGGTACGGTTTTTCACGTCAGCCATCGCAGATGTCCAGAAACGGCGTTACTTCGTGACGCGGACTCGCTGAAAAGTTTCAAATAACCGCCATGACGTTACGTTTTTCAGCCAGTTGCCATATGACTGAAATAGATCGTGAAGCTCTTGCTATAGTGTGGGGGGTGAAGAAATTTCATACATACCTCTATGGCAGACATTTCATGTTGTTGACGGATCATCGACCTTTGGTGTCAATTTTTCATCCAGAAAGGGGTGTGTCAGTCACAACGGCAGGAAGAATGCAGCGATTTGCATTGTTTTTGTCTGATTATGATTATGACATTGTGTACAGAAACACAAGTAGTCATGGGAACGCTGATTGTTTGTCTCGGCTACCAATGTCTGGTGGTTAGTTGGAGACAGAAGATGACAGCACTGATTTGCTGTACTTGCTTCAAATTGAAAACCTGCCGGTTACTAGTGATTGTGTTCGTAGGGAAACCGGACGTGACCCTATAATGGCACGTGTATGTGAAAACACAATGCACGGATGGAAAGCGTGCGTGAAACCAGAAGACGGAGAAATGTATCCATTTTACACTCGTAGAGAAGAGCTGTCGATGAACAGCGGTTGTCTGTTATGGGGTATACGTGTCGTTATCCCAGCAAAACTGAGAGGGTATATTCTCAGGGAGTAACATGCTAGGCATGTAGGAGTTGTGAAAATGAAGGCTCTGGCAAGAAGCCTGGTGTGGTGGCCAAACATTGATTCTGATATAGAGAAAATCACGAAGTCGTGTGAAGGGTGCCGTGAGCACAAGGTGTAAAATACCACTTCGGGTATTTTATAATTGATATAAATAATTAATTAAAATAATATTCATATCCTAAGATAAGCTTAGAAGGGGGCAGTCAATAGACATTCAGGAATGATCGTGACCGGGGCACATGGCACGAGATAAAATTTAGATGCCTTTGAAGGCTAGGGCGGATAATGATGATCCAGGGAACACGGTGACTGAGTTGTGGTAGAGCCTGAGACAAAGGGACTGCGCTCAGTCAAGTGTTATTTCTTCCTGGTTATTAAAATTCCTGAATGATCTATAAAGGCTGCCCTGTTTTAAGGTTATTTCATATCGTATTTTGGCTCTGGCGATATCATTATACATTTTGGACTGACCGTTACTATGTAGAAGAAAACTCTGTATATTTTCCAAAAGACAGTATTAAATTTCCATTTGTGTCGAATGAGAATCTTGTTCGTTTTATTGGATCAGCTGGGCGCACAACACTAAGGCCCAAGAACCGGCGCGTTATCTAAAGTAACATTATTTTCACGTAAAGTCTGACTGACGAAGTTTGGGACTTAACAAAACGTTCCCCAGCGGCAACTCCGATTCACCCTTGGGAATGGCCTGGTAGACCATGGGAGCGCATACACGTGTATTTTGCAGGCCCATTTTTGAACTCGATGTTTCTGATTGTGGTAGACGCGCATTCGAAATGGACTGAAGTGGTACCGATGCGAGAGACCACAGCCGGAAAGACCATCGAGGTCATGCGCGAGATATTTTCATGTAACGGAGTACCCAATGTCTTGTTCAGTGACAATGGGCGGCAATTCTCCTCAGAGGAGTTTGCCGATTTTATAAAGGTGAACGGCATTAAACATGTGAAGAGTGCACCGTATCACCCAAGCTCGAATGGGCTAGCTGAGCGCTTTGTGCAGTCTTTTAAGGCCGCTATGAAGGCTATAGTCGGAAGGAAAATGAACCGATGAGAAATGCATACAGAAATGCACCCCATGCCACAACAGGTGAAACTCCCGCACACCTGTTTTTAGGTCGGAAATTACAGTCTCGTTTAGACTTAATCAAACCTAGCATTGACCAACGCGTTCGAAACAAACAGGTGGACGTGGCGAGTCGCAGATCGAGTGTGCTGCGTGACTTTAAGCCCGGACGACATGTGGATGTTGGCGATTACCGTGCGAGCGCTTATGCAAAGTGGGTTCCGGGGGTTATTACTGAGAAAACCGGACCAGTGTCATATCGAGTACAGGTAGAAAATGGTACTTGGCGCAGGCATGTTGATCAAATACATGATTCCGTGGGACGAAATAAGGAAACGCACTCTTAAAATGTGCCCCAGTCGGTGTGGGAGAATAGTTATTCAGGGGGTCAGACTCGTGAATTGTGTTTCCAAGATAATCAGTCTCCACAAACTAAAGGTGAACAGGAAGTTATGCAGTCCAGCACTGATCAAATCAATAATAGAAAAAGCTAGGTGATAACAGGTGCTCTTCCACGTAAAAACCCCAGACGTAATGCAGGCTCACCTAAATCAAGGAGTTATAACATTACACGCAAGCCTCTCTATTGTCCGATGTCTGTTACGGTGGGCGGAGCTAGCTATAGGGGGCCTCCTGTCTCAAGGTTTCGTCTGGGTCGCTCTCCTCCGCTTGGAGATTGATTTTATATGCGTTATTTCGCGTTAGAATTCGAGATCAGTAGTGTCAAAGCGGCGCTGTATGCTGACGATTTTTTTACAGGTAGTTTTATGTCTCCTTGATCTAAGTTGATGTAAGAATTAGGATATGTCCGCGTTAGTAATGTAACAGACTCAAGTGTGATGTTTGAAATTTGGCCGATGATGGCCGCTTTTATTGGAAGTCACATTAATAAAAAGAAATAAAGCGTATTACTGATAAACATTGAATAATGTTGATAGATGATATAAACTTAGTGTGCGCCAGAAGTATCAACATTTAAATTATAATTCCAGACAAATAGTGCACACATTTCAAATTGTGGGGTTGCAAAGAGGCCATAAACGTTTGACTACGCCAAACTTCCCTATTTGGCCGATGTGCTGGGAGGGAACGATATCATAGAAAGCGATTATAAGGTGGTGACTGAGGATGGTCGCCATGAGTTTTTTTGAGTCGGTGATAGATGGCTTTTCTTTTGCACAACACAGTGAAAAATCACCAAGGATAAGTCAAAAGAAAACGTCCCAACTGTGGTTTGTGAAAATGACATTCAAGTGAACGTCTCACTGCCAAAGAACATAATATTAATACATAAACGTTTGGACCCTCCTGCCCTTGGGTCCCATAAACATATACATTGAGACAGTGCCTAAGCTTTGTGGTAGGTATTAAATTTCTTTAAGTATTTTTTTCTCTCACTCGGTATAATTTTAATATCATAATGCATTAAAGTGAAATTTTAATCAAAGGTTGAGGCAATGCCACGACATGTCAGTTTACTAAATACTCGTTATAAATTTCTTTATCTTGGAAATCTCCCTTTTTTTCAGGATTTCACACACTAACACTTCATATTTGTCGGTAAAGTAGTACACAGTGCTAAACATTTAGAATAATTTTTATTCATTCATAAATATATTTATGTACAAAATATATCAGAAATTTTAGTATTAACTGAGCTCTTTAAAGTGAAACAAATAAAGAAGAGAATTTTGAATTTCAAACTATTATTTACTATATTAACTTAAAATATCTTTTAAGTCAACTCTATACTCAAGCATCATGATAGTAGCATCTGTGAGTAAAACCATTTTATTATATCAATAGAAGAACAAAAACAAAATTTTACACATAAGCAGTAATTAATTAAGTCATAAGAATGATTAAGTTGCTATAGTTTTTCAGTTTTATGCAGTCTATGTTGACATTTATTTCAACCATGCAAATAGAAATAATTATATATATTTTTTTATCTGACTTGCTATGATACCAGTCTGTGCCAGATACTATTTAGTATAGGTTTTAGTCTCTCATAACCCTTAGTAGGGTGGGTTTTATCTATTTAAAACGTGAGACGTTAATAAAATTATTATTATTACTATTCCACTCACAGGCCAGCAAGGTCTGAGAATCTAATGGGCTGAATGAAAAAAAAAAACCCTAGAAGATAAAGTGGCTAATTCTTACAAATAGGATAAAAAACATGGGATTTTCAAAAGGTTATTATAAATCAAGACAACACTTAGTATTAAAGAACATTTATAAAATGAACTGGAGTACATGTTACAGCTGAAAAAATTAACTGGGCCAGTAAGTGACTGCTTTAAAGAAATTTCACTGAAACAGTCCAAATTTAACTGGCAATCAACTAGACTGTTATACCATGGCACTCAACAAATTATATATAGGTTTTGATTTTTTTTCCACGTGACAGTAACATAAAATTTATGTCAACTTTTGAAATGTATAGAGTCAGTGAGGTGACTGAAAATATTTTAAAATGTCATGAAGGAGCACTATTAATTTAATGCAATCTCTGTTGGCCACTCTTTTCCAGTTTCTTCTCCAAAAAGGACAACTCAAGTGAGAATTTCTTCAGGGCCTTTTCTTCTGCCTGCCAATGCCATGCCACTCAGAAAAGAGAGAAACCTGTATGTTAGAAAAAAAAACATAATAATAGCACTATGAACTACAAGTATCCATGTAGACATTATGGAATTACGCAGTGAAGTTTAATGTGTATTGTTATGACTTGACTGAAATAATGTTCACCACATACATGAACAATTTACAACAAAATTTATAAAGAATATCAAGATTCATGATCACAAGCTAATAACCCCAAGAAATTGAAAGAAATTGTACTTATTACAAGAAATTATTTAAATCCACCCTGGTTCCTACTCTTCTGACAGGACATAAAGGGGATTTCAGAGAGGCTGATTGCTAAAAGGAAAATGCCCAAGGTTGTTGTATTTTGAAAAATAATTAAAAAGAGTACTGTTGTTAGTGAATGTTTAATGCATCGTAGGCATTATGACAAAAGTAACTTACCCCAGACACGCTGACCTCTTTTTTCATTGACATTTTTTCACTTTTTCCAGACTGACCATAATTCATATATTCAATGCAGCCTTCTCCCATATCTATAATAGAAGAAAAAAACTTGAGTAATGTTAAGATAAGCATGTAAAATTCATTATCAATTTTGAGAGAATTTCTGTTTTAACACTGCAAGATGAAATATTTAATTTCAAGTAATGAATAAACCTTAATAGAGTTCTATTCTTTTGTATCCACCAAGGCAAAGCTTCTTTCTTAAAATGAACTGAAACATCCAAGCTTGCCACCTAGCATGCCAAAGTATTGAAGTGTAATTAAAGTAGAGAAGCAAGTACCCCTTAATTATAGAGGTGTCTTACACAATAAGGTGTGTCTTACACACCTTGACTCAAAGGGAGCTGTGTAGTGAGATAACAGGTAAAATAATTGGTGGAGCCTAGGTGAACTTAAAACCTTAAGACTTTAAATTAAGNTATTCTTTTGTAACCACAAAGGCAAAGCTTCTTTCTTAAATTGAACTGAAACATCCAAGCTTGCCACCTAACATGCCAAAGTAGTGAAGTATAATTTAAGTAGTGAAGCAAGTACCCCTTAATTATAGAGGTGTCTTACACAATAAGGTGTGTCTTACACACCTCGACTCAAAGAGAGAGGTGTAGTGAGATAACAGGTAAAGTAATTGGTGGAGCCTAGGTGAACTTAAAACCTTAAGACTTTAAATTAAGAAGCACCAGGATTCATGTGTGTTCTTTTTTCAAAGGTTTAATATGAATTAAAACGTATATATATAAGAAGAAGACTAAATAAGTTAAAAATAACTATACCAAAGACACTGTGAAGTCAAACTTCCTGTTAGACCGCCATGATGGAAAATGCTGGGTGGAGGCAAAATTTTCCAGTCAAAAAAAACTGAGCACTTTACTTTAACAACTGTTATAACTCCTTGATTTATCAAGAAGTGAGCTGCCTTTGCGATGGTCAGCGTATGGACTTATTAAATTTTTTCCAAGCCAAAGTAGACTTTAAATTTTAAGAAAAAGCAAAAAAAAAAAAAAAAAAAAAAAAAAAAAAAAAAAAAAAAATCATCTAACTGCTGCACCTCTTATAAATAGTAAAACAAATTATTGTAATCGATGGTTTTTAACTTTTCTTTTCATTTAGTATTTTCTTTTCATTAAACCTAAGATGGTAATTTAATATCTGTTTTAAATGTATTTCATAATGAATAAACCTTTACTTTATTATGTTTTATTATTTGTTTATTATTTTTTAGGCCTACATCTCTTCATTTCTCTCTCTCTCTCTCTCTCTCTCGTCATTCACGACGTGAGTATAAGCAATGACACTACATGAAAACGTTACAGCATGACCTAAGATACCCTTCAATATCAACGTAAACGTCAGAATAGCATGCCATGAAACAATACAAATAAACGAACTGTCTGCTAATGGTACCAAACACAAATTCGCCATGTGCATCCTCGTATTAAAATATTTGTGTAAACTTTTCGCAACCAAAGAGCATCAAAACATATCTTGGCATTATAAGAAGTGTTCCGCGGCATATAGAGCAAAAAAATGTGGCTGTATTCATTGTGTCATCCTCTGGGCTTCATTTTCACCGTGGGTGCCTTTATCACTATAATAGGGAGTAACAGTGGAGCGCCAACGTCTCCAGGTATGAAAGTTGTATATATATTTTTTGATGCCATAATGATGCCAAATGGTATTTAAAATATCACTTTGGTTGGTATGACAGAAATATTAGACCTAAGAATGGAAGTGCAGGGTCTCGTAAGATTAGTATACAAGTTCGGGTTAGCCGAAAATATCGGGGTTACCCCTACGGAAACTTCACTTCCCATGAACCGTTTCTTGAAATGTATACAACATTTTATACAATTCGGTTTCACAGAATACCATAACTCTTATATATCATTGTACAAATTGTTTGCTGCACACTATTTCAGCCTTAATAAGAGACAGCAAATCTTTGGTAGACTTCGCCATGTTCATCTCCTGTCTGTCCGACCACTGGTTCACGGACTTCCTGGACTATGGCTGCTATTGTGGATTCGATGGGGGCGGGACTCCCGTTGACGATATTGATAGGTGAGGTTAAATGCGATAATGAAACTTTATGATAAATTGGACCTTGATAATGAGGTCTCTAATGAAAAGTGTGCAAACAGTTTCGATTCGAGGATATTGGTGAGGGGCTTTACAATAGACGATTTGACAAGGGAAGTGTACCATTATGCGTAAGGCACAGGGATGGAAAATTGCTTTTCTGGTCTCGTTTTGAGTGCTATACCGATTTTTAGGTGGGACAAGGGAAAGAAGGGATATCCTCCGAGGATAGAGGTGCTCGCGGTGCCATCTGGAACTGCCTTTGTACTTACTGCTAAAATGATAGAATATTACAGCAGAGCATTGCATATATGGCAAAAAAAAAAAAAAACTAAGACAAAACTTCAACCAGATTATGCTTGTTGTACTATTAATGTGGCAGTTTCTTGGTTCCTTTCTGGTTATCAGTTATACACTAGGGTATTCAACACCCAGTTATACGTCCATGGTTGAATTTTGTTTTTCTCTTTCGTAGGTGCTGCAAGGCGCACGACGAGTGCTATGCGTTGATACAGGAAGAGTGCGGCAGCCTAAGCCCATATCTCCTGCCGTACTCTGCCACCTGTGGCATGGGATTTAAGCGCTCTTTGCCTGCTCATTGTTGTAAGTGACCCCCATCTTCTCTCTCTTCCCAGAGTCCATTTGTTTATTCTGTATCCTCCCAGCAAATGTTATAAAAACGTTCTTAAATACATGTATATAACGTTATCTAAAGCGTTTATATTACCAAAAATGTTATGGTAACGTCATAAAACGTTCTGTGCTTGCTGGGCTAATGTTAATTCTTTTAAAACCACAAGGTCAGAAACACAAAAGTAAAAAAAAATCACTGTCCTGTGCTAATTAGTGATGTTGATACAATAGGTTTGCTTTGTTTGAAGCTCAAAAGTCATAAAATCCCCATTTGCATTTGCGTTTCAGATCCACCATCGTCTTATTGGTTGGAAGGTAGATGTCGCTACAACCTGTGTGAATGCGACAGAAGAGCTGCAGAATGCTTCACCACCGGCAAATACAATCTCACTTACTTCGCGTACGACCAACGACTTTGTTAAGATATTAAAAAGACATTCATCTCGAAACAAATCTTGCTAAATGTTGTCCTTAGTTTTACATTTACATTTTATGACAAGGGGCAGACAGGAGTTACACCGTAGGCTGGAACTTTTCGCTTTGGCATTGGCCAGTCGCTTTTTAACAGTTCCTTAAATATTGGGCTAGAATTTGTATTGGCAAAGTCGGCTGATCTTGCCGATCGAAAACATCATGCTTTCAAACCTTAAATCCAAACCTATCTTTTGATTTTAATTTTAAATAAACTTAAAAAGGTAAACTTTCATTTCAGTTTTGTCTGAACCTAGTTTTTCACTTTATACATGTAGCTTTTATGATCATACATTGGAACAAAACGCGAACCTGTGGGTTCGGGGCATTGTTGAGATAGCGTTTATAGTCATCTACTCATATTCAAAACAAAAAGAAGGCTTCTAGTCATATCTACCACGTGGCATTATTAAAACTGAGCTCCAGGCAAATGAGAAGAGATGATAAAAGAACACGCAATATGCATTCGCTAGTGCTGACACCTGGTTTATATCGTGTAAATCTGATTCGTGGAACTTCAGTTGGTCGACATATATGCATGTATCTGATAATGGATCCAACAGATATGTAGTTGAGATAAACAAAATCATTTATTGGGGCCATTTTTGACTGAGGACGACGTACCTTGATGTTCACAAATCGAGCCGAAACCTCAATCCTGGAGTTTGTTTTGAAATTCTCTTTAGCAAATGTCATGGAAAGGCACAATTCAGAATACAAGCCATTTATTCCCTGATATGAACAACCAGAGGCTAGCAATTATTGGTTTTCATCTACACGGGTAAACGTTAAGCCGGAGGTAGGCAAGCAACTTTTGGACTCATCTTCACGTGAAAACCCGGAGGGGCTCATTAAGGGTAACGGGAAGGTATGGTGCCGCGAAAGAACGAAAAAAAAAAATAATAAACGTTTGGATAGCTGCAGATGTGAGTAAATCACCAAAAAGTGGGGGATTCTACATTTGAACAAGTCTACTTAGTCTACGAATCGAGTATAGGAATACATTTTCTAGTGTGATCTCAGCACGATGTCAAGGCTAGATATGTGACGAACGCTTTCAGAATTACAAAGTTCGCAATTGGAACACGAAATCTTGATGTGGAGAACGGGTATGGAGGTTAAATTTCTTAAAGTCATCTTAGGAAAAGATGCCCAACCTTTCAATCTCCCTGCATCAAAACCACTAAAATTTTGTTTTATTAATAAAAACAAGTGACGACTTGGTGCCACACAGCCCAATAATACAATAAAGCTCTTGTTCGATTTGAGTACCTTCTGTACCCGTTTTAACAAACAACACCTGTTTTTTTTCCATCCGATTAGCATTCGCGACTTTCCCTACAGCCTTCATTTGATTGGCGAATTTCGCTCAGGGCATTTATAACATGCGTGTACACTGTATAAATGAAGACTTGAGTACACACTCTCTCGGACAACTGGCCGGATTGATTGTCAAAAATGATCGGCGTGTGCATTTCTTCTTGCCTTCATTTTAGGGCAGTAGTCACACTGCTTTTTTTCGGATATCTATCCGTACACAGCACAGGCAACAGTATTTTCCCCGCAAACCAGTGGTTATGCAGCACTACAGACGGTGTTTTCGTCAAAAGGGTGTGTAGTTGCAGAAGTGACTGCGACCAGCGACCTTATCTCGACTGCTGTGAAGATTGGAAAAACACATGTAGCACTAGGCATACTAACCAAAACGACCGAAGCGCTATNATATTAACAAGATGGCGGCTTAAGCATCTGCTTGTTATTCGGCTACTGAAAGTGCACCTAAGTTTTATTCTTTGCTATTGCCACAAATTACTTAACAATTGCAACTGTATAAAGACCAAACTTTCTTCATCTGATACTATATTTATAGGCACTTGTTATGAGTGGGAAATATTTTTCGTGCAATATTTATTCTCCACACACCACCTCGCGAGATCAACGTGTAGCTGGACACTTACACAGTGAGACCCTACGACATAAAAGTTGCAATTTATCTTCATATTTCGTGTAGTTATGCATTTAAAAGCACTTACCTGTTTTTTGAAAACCTTGTCCAACGTAATATCATATAAATTCTGTATTTCTCTCATTTTTTAGAAACTTGGGACTCCGTTTCTGTTTCTGTCCTCAAAAATCAACAGACGAAGGCACAGATACTAACAAACGAGATTTAAACGAGATGTAATTAAGCGTAACAGAGATAGGCATCCATTGTTCTCTGGGTTCTATTCATTCCGACCAATGAGAGACCGTAATACGGGCTCCGCCTCCACGCGTGTAATCTCCTTCTGTTATAACTCCTTGGTTACACCAAGGAGTTATAACATCCTTGGTTACACCTAGTCACATCGGATTGTCGCGCTCGCGCTGGACCACAGAAACAGGCGTCATGGGGTCACTCGCCTAAGGTATTGTGTGTTATTACGCCTAAACTATTGTGTTTTTGCGTTCAAATTTTGAAGGGATTAGACGGCTCTCCATTGTTTGTCCGCCCCTTTCTATTCAATATAGGTTATTTTGCTGCAAGATCTTGTTTTTTATCCCTGATGTATGAGTAGCTTTTTCTACAATTTCTATCATTCTCTTAACGTATGAAAAAATGCCGGTTTTCTGATGTAATAAGACTTTGATAAAATATCAAAACCAATAATACTTTCAAAGTCGAGAGTCGGGATAAATATCGGCAGGGTGGAGATATGTCCCACCGGCGCTTCCGCAACAGCAAGACTGAAGGACGCATGTTACAAAGCAAAACATGTTTAGTCAAGTTAAAGACTTAATTACCAGCTGCGACAGTGACTGCCGCTGTGAGCGACTTGCGCTGTCCATCGTAATCCCCTATCATTAACACTGTCGGGGGCTTGCTCACTAGCACGCATGATGTAGACAGCGTGGGCTATTAAAGTGACCGGGGGTGTAATAGCTACACGGTACTTGTATGTTCCTAGCGTTAATTTAGCCGAGTTGAGCAATATTTCAACAGTTTTTTCTCAGATAAAGTCTATTTTATCCTTACAAACATCCTTTATGCTTTTTTCTCTAAGCCCACGTCTTCATTCCCATTCACCTACAGCTAAAAATGACCACTCAGCTTTACGTCTTACACCACTTCACGTCACTTCCGGCAAAATTCTGATCAATTCTGGTCTCCTCCGGCACCCTTTCTTGTTATATAATTATATATAAGGCCATAAAGCGAGTCGACCAACCAAGCAAACGACACCATGAAAATTAATTAACAAGAATAATCCGCTATTAAGTCCTTTGAACAAATATGAAAATTGCCTTCTTTTGCCGCTCGGATCGCTAATATTCTCCCGCTGTCGATATCAAAATTGCCTTCATGTCTCGCTCGGATAGTTAACGATCTACTGCTAACGATCATCCGCTGACCATATGAAAACTGGCTTCTCGTCTCTCTCCAACTCTAAAGGCTAAAGCAAATTCGCCATGAACGCCACAAGATGAAATCGTATACGGTTTTCCGTGCAATAGCGAGAAGCAAGTCGATTATTATTAGAATTTATGCGCGCGCAGCTCTTCCGTCACATTTGACCTAGTTATCATGGTCGGACAAACAAACGAAGTCAGACAGTGTGACAGTGTGTATACAGGGACAGTGACGTGACTTTCATCGAAGAGAAGCAAACGTTTCAGTGCTTTACACTCTGAGTATGGTTTGCACAAAACATTGTTGTTATGGCACCTGCAGAAATGACTCGCGTTACCCTGACAGACCGGAGATGGAAGGTGTGTTTTTCATCAACTTTCCAAAGCCTAAAACTCAACGGGAGAAGTGCGAAAAGTGGATCTATGCATGCGGGCGACCCAAAGATCAATTCAATGTTGAGAAAATAACAAAGTCCACGTACATTTGCAGTAAACATTTCGTTGGCGGTCGTGGACCAACAGACGATTACCCAGACCCGATACCTGCTACTGCCAGTGCAGAACGAGTAAGTATAGTAGTTTCGTTTTTTTCAACAGGGTTGCTTTAACATGCATTTATCATTTTACATTTCATTTATCTTTTTATAAACTAACTTATTGGTATTATTCTACAAGTAAACATTGAAATCAAGTATATTTATTCATTTACTTGTTTGTGCTGTTATAGTTAGATGTAAATTATCTTTGATTGTACGTTATTTGTTATGCCATCGGCCAGTAAGAGGTTTAAATGGGTTTTTGTTAAAGATTCTTCTCTAAACAATGTAGGAATAAGCCGATTTATATTATTTTCTGATGTAGGTGAGGAAGATAAGTCGCCCTAGAAGAAAGCCTCCAGTGGCACGTCAAAACAGACTTCAAGCTGCAGAGGCCTTGCTCCAGCTCGGCGAATTCTCGTCGTGCACAGAAGAGGGTGTTGGAACACATGAAAGAGAGGATAGCAGCTGTGCAGACCAGGTAATCTACCACGTTTTTTTTGTCTATTGTAAAAGTTGTATATGTGAAAATGTCATACAAAATGTTTACATGTCTGTCTAGGGTTAAATATATTACTTTTTATGTATAGGGACAAATTCATTTGAAAGTGGCTAGATCCATTTAAAGTGAGAAGAGGGAAAGAGCATATCTTTAGAAGATAAGATTAACTGTTCACATGTCAGATTTCAGGGCTTGTGATAAAACAAGCTAATTACTGCCACCAATGGAAAAAGTCAACTAGGCATTGAATAGGTTACATAATAGTGCAAAATTCAGATTGAATGATAGTAAGAACTATACCATGACAGGCTTCATTGCAGTACAGGTGTGATCACCTTAATTGTAGGTGTGGTAGATGACAATCTTTTAGGAGAGGTGTCAATAAAGCTGTTGAAAGTGTGGGATGAGCAGTTATGCTAGCCTTCAATCTTATGATTTGTATACATGTCAAACTGCTTTCAAAAATAGATGGACAATTCATGGGTAAACATTAAGAATGACAAAGGTATAGACAATCCATAAAAAAAATCAATCAGCTTGTAAATACATGTTAAAGATATGTGTTATTTGGTAAGTTCTGTTCAAGATAAAACAGGTATGTACATTTTATCACAATGTCAAAATATTTAGCAAAATATTCATGTGGAAAATATTCAGCATGAGAATATTAACAATTCAATTTATTTATTAATATTCAGGATAAAATTCAAGCTGCTGAGGCCTTGGTGCAACTGAATGAGCTGTCGGATACACTGGTGGACCATGCTGAAGCAACACAGGAAGAAACGGACAACTTGAATGAGAGACCAAAGGTATTTAATATGTTTATATAAATTACAAATGTTGGTAATACATGTTTTCTTTGTTGTCTAAATAAAACCTCTCCACCTCTGCTTTCTTTCCAGAGAGTAAATGTCATCTTAATTAGATCCTGTATTTTTATGCCATATTTTTATCTGACACCTTACAATAAGTTTGGGCATAAAACATGTAGTTAGCACTTGCCCCTTTCTAGTATTGTTTGCAGCTGTCACTTGACTTTACAGGTAGATCTCCAGTCTTTCTTCATTGTTAGTGCAGTTCTGGTCACCTGTATTCATCATTACATCACTCTATTTAGATTCTTATCTTTTTGCCCTGCACTTCAAAAGAGGGATCCAGGGCTAGACATTATTTATTTATCTCACCTACTTTAAAATACCTTTTCTTGCTTTATGACAACTTTTTCATTTTGTATATTCCAGATGGCTTCTGTTGGGGTTCAGACTGAAGCTGCCTGCCAGTGTCACTTGACGAAAAATACTGAGGCTGATGAAAAGGCAGTAGCTGATGCAGCTTCACAGACTGCATACGACAGAATGTATCTTCAAAGTAAAGTTGAAAACTTGCTGCTGAAAAACCAACTGAAAACCCTGTCAACCCCCATTACACCTCCTGGGAGCATTAGCAAGAATAAGCCTCCTTTGTCTTTTGCTTCTGTCAAAGATAACCCTAAGCAGATGAAGTTTTTTACTGGATTGACTTTGGTTCACTTTATGTCGTTGTTCAATTTTCTCGGGCCTGCTGTCAATAATCTCAAATATTGGAACTTATCTCATAGGCCTTGCAAGAGTCTCAGACCCATTGATGAACTTTTTATAATGTTGGTTAGATTACGTCGTGGTTATGGTTTTTTTATGCTTAGTTTTTTATTCAATTTGTCAATTACTTCAGTGCGCTGTATTTTTACAACCTGGTTACAATTTCTTTATTTTCATTTTACTGATTTGAAGGCCGATATGTTTCCAGATCGGTCAACTTTAGGAAAGTTTATGCCTAAGAGCTTCAAAGGCTTTAAAAATGTCAGATGTTCAGTTGACTGTACAGAGTTTTTTGTCCAGATGCCTAGGAATTTTGCAAGGCAAGGCAATCTGTTTTCTAATTACAAAAATCATCATACTTTCAAATGCCTAATTGCAGTGGCACCAAATGGTGCATGTGTTTATATTTCTGAGTTATATGAAGGTGCCATTAGTGACCGTGAAATTTTTTCAAAGTGTGGAATTTTAGATTATTTAGAACCAGGTGACATTCTTTTGGTAGATAGAGGTTTTACTGTAGAGGATTTATTACTTTCTAGACAAGTTTCTTTGAACATTCCTCCATTTCTAAAAGGTAGAGAAAAACTAACACCACAGGAGGAGCTACTGTGTAAAAAACTTTCTAAGGCCCGAATCCATGTGGAGAGGTACAATGAACGCCTAAAAAAATTCAAACTTATAGCAGGTACAATGCCTTTGAATATGACAGAACTAGCATCACAGGCTGTCTTTGTAGCTGGTTGCCTAGTCAATTTTCAAGACCCTTTGGCAAAATAAGTACAGTGGGTAGTAGACATAATTAGGTTAAGAAAACAATATCTGTATATAGTTAATTTCAGGGTTTTTTAATTGTGCCATGTTTTTTGGGTGTTGAAAGAGCAATAATTTTTGAATTGAAAATTGTGAACTTATGTATTTTCTTTTATTGAACCTACAAAGGAAAGCAATATATACATAATGATACAAAGAATTTTCCATGACTTATGCAATAAATTGGTTTATACGTATAAAAAAAACTGGGTTATTGTTTGTCAAATTTAAATTAACATTTGCAATTATTTTCATCACATGAATGCATCTGCAGTGTTCAGGTCGAATTGGGAGTCACCTCAAAATTTGTTCTCTTAAATGTTCTTTATTTTATGTCTGGAGTTCCCCTTTTTATCATCAACCCTAAAAGTGAGGTTATATCCTAGTTTGCTTGAAAAATGCAACTTACTGCCAACCTTTACTGCTTGGTATAAGAAATATAGTTTGCCAGAAAAAAATAGTTTTCTATGGGTTTTGGAACCTATTCTGTCCCTTACAGCCCTTTAATGATTTAGATTAAGAAAATGGTGCACTGAGAATTTTTTTCTGTAAATTATAAACTGCAAAATTATATGATGAATAGGTGATATATCAAAATGCAACAATATGTTTTAAAAAGAAACCAGATGACAATTGGCTATTTAGATGAAAATAGCTGACTTTTGAGATTTCCTTTGCTAAAATATATGGATGTGCAGTATTTACTAGATCCCCTGAATCTTATAAAAGCAATATGCAAATGGACAAAATGAAAACACTAATAATCATTATTGCAAAATGTTTATTGAAAAAAATATTTGTCATCCTGACTAATGTCTTCTTTCCAATTTTTTTCCGAGAATCTTTGTACGTTACTAAAATTATTAAGCAAAACTGAAAAACTTAATTATATACAAGTAGTACTCTTATTAACATATCTGTGCTATTGAAATGAGAGCAATGATAATGCCACATGTGACAATTGTTCATAGTTTAATATATCACCTTGTTCTAAGACAATACATATTAAAATGCACATAAACTACAAAAATTGAGCATGAATAAGAAAAACACTAAAGATGCCATCTCAAAACTATTCATGTCAGTAAAAAAAAAATTGAAGACCTTCATTATTTACCATCAGTCCTCTCATTGATACACCTGTGCTGTTGAAATACAATGATAGGGCAAGATATGAAAAGCATTCAAATTTAATCACATATAATGCAATCTTCTAAAAAATTACATATCAAAATGTAAGTAAATAAAATCACAACAATTAGAATGACTAATATGCACTAGAGGGCTCAAAACCATCCAGGTCAGTTTTAAAATTAACTTGTTAACTAACCCTTCAATTTAAAAGGTTTTAGATTGCGTGGGGCCCTCATTTCTACCAATTCAGGGGCAATAACTGCCTTCCAATATTTCTTGTTTGCCGACATTATCTCAGCAATAAACACATCATCTCTGTAAACTCTCTCCACAGCAGGTTCCCCTACAGGTGACCACATAACAAAATCGCACCAACTAAGACCTGTAACACCCAACTGAAATTGAACTTGATAATAGTATCCATGAGATCTTTTCAATGTAAAATTACCATTGTTGATCTTGAAACATTGGGACGACATTTCCTTTTTCATCTCCCCTCTCTCAACAGCACTTTTTAACTCAACTGGTGACCTGTGACTAAAAATCTTCAACACCTTAATTTCTACACATCCCACACTGGGATTTTCTGATGGGTCTTTTACTATTCCATCAGGACTGCATGCAAGACAGGGTTCTACAACATTTACCCATAATCCAGTGGGCTGTACCTCTACCAGTGGAGACTGCTGTTTCATGTAAGCAAAATAGTCCATTCTTGCTTGCTCCTCTTTCTCCAAACCTTCCTGCATGTACCTAGTGACGACCTGATGGAGTCCCCACACTTTTCTTTGAACAAACTTCAAAGAAGCTTCACTTACAACTGACGACTGATCCACGCTCTCTTTCCTCCACAACATCACAGCTTCCTTGGCAGAAGACGCTGTCATCCTTACACTTCGCTGGTTGTGCCACTCTGTGGATGCAGACTGGTTACTTGTGTTTGGCATGAGAGCTGCTTCCTCATCCACACTAGGTCTTAAATTATTCAGAATGTGGACTACTATGCAGGACAGAAGCTCATTCCTTTCCCTACTTAGGTCATAGTCTATATATGTAAACTGAAGAGTTGTCTGCCACATACATATGGTATCTGCTTTACCTAAGTCAGTCAAAAACTTATTTTTGGCCTCTACAGTAATAATTGTCCCTGCAGGCCGAGGGTCAAAGGCTATTACATTAGTTTGCTTTCGCTTGGAGTTATATACTTTCTTGTTGATGCTGTCAGGCATTTTCCTTTTGCTGCCACGATGCCACTGGCACGGCAGGTCTGTGCATGCTGGATCAGAGGCACCCCTGTCTGCAGGGTCACAAAGTGATAAAAGAACAGCAGCAATATGGCTGCATCTGCTTAGGGCTGAAGACTTGCAATGGCAAGTGGCATCCAACACAGTTCCACTTACAACGGACAGCGCAATAGTCACAGTGTATGGATTTTCATTTCTCATAGAGGGCAAAACTTTGGCTTTGACATGAAATATACTGTCAGACACTTTAGTCTCTACACAACCCACATTGCCAGACTGAACATACTGTTGTCCCCGTACTAGAGGTTTTCCAGTAACCACACTCTGGTTATCCGTATCCCCTGGAAGGGTTGGCATGCTCTCCACCAACCAGTGATATACATTCCCATAATTGTATTGTGCTGGCAACGAAGTGGCTACCAATGGCTTCCATCCTGTGACTGGCGGGATAGGTTTGTTGGCAGATCTTTCCACCAAGATACCTGCCTTTTTCTGGTACCATTTCCCCCCATCAATGGTAATATCGATGTCTACGGACCTTCCACTTGCTATGCAATCATTGCATCTAGATTAAAAACAAAAAAACAAACATTAGCAATGATCAAACACCTAAAGACAAGTTATTTTTGGAGGGAAATTATCTAAAAAACAATGATCAGCCCCAATAATAAATCTCTCCTGCACCAACTTGTATGTCTATAATGCCACACAAAACAATGACTTCCTGTGTGTGTGTGTGTGTGTGTGTGTGTGTGTGTATATAAAAGAACATTGGTCATAAAACTTGAAATGTGTAAAACATTATAAAAAATATATTTGATTCAATAGTATGAGTACTGTCAGTAAATAACTACTCAGCTAATGTTTGCACTTTAAATTAAGACACATTAAATTCTAACTTAGTGCAGGCCTACCTGCATGCAGTTCAACAAAATGTTCAATCAACTGACATGTTCTAAAATAATTCAGTACATTTTTAAAACTAATTATATCTAATTGACATCAAAGGCCTATAATAAACCTTGAAAGTCTAAATCATACATGCAACCTGGAAATAAAAAAAAAACCTCTAAAGCTATCCACTTGTGCAGTGGGCCCTATGAAACGAGACCGCCATTTTCATTTTGTTTATATACACACAAGAGGATACAAGAGCAACGTGTTATACTTACGCTGATAGCACAGTCAAAGTTTGGCCATTAGTACCCACATTGACTAAACCATCTCATAACTATAGGAAGACGATATTTTATTGCACCGTAGTTATATTAACACGATAGTACAAGGCTTCTGAACATGACACTGTGAAGTCGCATTTTGATACACACGTAATATGTTTACTAGTATATTCATTCCACCCGCGAAAACCTATCAGTGATATCGATGATAGCAACTGCGAGTTACTCATATTTACCTGATGTACAGACATACATGAATATTTACAAGAACGTCTCTTTCCGATACACGTGTTTTACAGTCACAAGAAATATCACTGAACCTACCTTTCGACCAGTTCACTCCGGTTTCCACTAGATTTTAAGCCCCTGCAGGCAAGCCAACGTCTCAACTGGATATTGGAATGTTCAGCTGCTGTTTCATAGGAAAATTTTGCTCCCGGGACATCATCCTCGGTCAATCTTACGAAGGAAACCGTTGGTGTCCCTTCCTTCGCCATTGAAATTCACCGTGCAGACTGCTGTTCTTGTCCGACTTCCGCGTTCAGCAGTGAACTCATTAATATGCATGAGATAGTAGTGACGCAATAGGTTGCTTCTCGCTATTCTTATCACATCGTAAGTGACTACTGACTACAGCCAGTACGTTTACATAACATGCGGATGCCGTGCAATGACGCTGAAAATTCGGTTTGTCGGTTGAAAACTGATCATACTGAGACCGTTCAGTCTCAGTGTTGTTTCGGCTTCCTTAAAGATGGACACGATGTCGGCGCAAAGTACGATTTTAGCGTGCTTGTGGTCAGAATAAGGAAACGTACAACTTTAAATTCGTGCATGTGATTTACACTAGTCTTAAACATCTTTATTATTGTTGTACCCCCTTAATCCACCAAAGGTGAAGGTAGAAGGAAAGAAGGCCAACAACATAATCAAACTATCAATTCAATTCAATCAAAATATGTTAAAAAGTTTAGCAGACAAATTCGTTGAGGCTACAGAGATGGTGGATTCATACGATTTTGTACGGCCGTGCACCGTGTACCTCCTCTCATATGCAGGAAAAAGGGTTTTACGGGCAGTATACGTACATTGTATGTAATCTAGGCTTAACCATCTCCTGCTGACGAAGTCCTTTTAATTGCTTTCTCGTCTCCCTTGGATCGCGAGCGGTCTCCCGCTGAATATATAAAAACTGCTTATGCGTCTTGCTCGGATCGGTAACAATCTCCGGCTGACCATCTCCCTCCAATGTAGTCTCTATTTTAACGTATATAAAAATTGCTTTCTCGTCTCGCTCGTATCACGAATGATCTCCCGATGAAGTCTTCAAGATATGATAATTGTTTTCCCGTCCACTTGGATCGGTAACGATTTCCCGCTGACGAGCGCCCGCCAAAGAAGATCCTAGTATTGAGTTAAGAAAAGTACTCGATTCCTAGAGGTAAGTCAATCCAAGCTAAGGTGACTTTTTCTAACCCAAAAGAAAACAATCTTTTTTTTCAAATAATTACAGAAAATAACAGAATATTGGGACCCATGGGAATGGCAACTTGACTACCCGGAGGGCTTACGCTCTCACCTAACATTAGTTGAATGTCAAACAAGCGGATTATGATCATGGCCCACAAAAATCACAATTAACAGAAAAATCAAAAACGGAGATGGTGTGCATTACACGAATTATACCAGAAATATTCTGTTTTTGCTGTTCTTTTTACCCTCTGATGTATGTTTTGGCAGCCATTTTCTTTTTACAATAACAGTAACGTGCTAGGATATAGTCAAGTACTCTACTGTGTACTTGTGACAAGCAATACATTCACAAGTGTTACAAATAATGTATATCCGTCAACTTCTGGATCTATTTCTATTTTCTTTTGAAAAGTGACGACCATATTGAAAAATGCTCAATGTCTTGGGAGTAGCAACGAAGCTAATTTTACTTTTCTAGCCCTACAGAATGCATTTCTGTCATGAAGGTTTACAGGAAAGATCATGACAGGGTGCAACTGTTGGGCCTATGGGAGCGAGTGAATATTCGTCATTTTGCATTGCGCAATATCGTCCAGTGACGTCATTATGACGTCATCTTGTCCACAAAGATGTGCGAAGTGAGTGAACGTTTCTCAAATCTATTCATATCATCACTAACGCTGGTAGTGCTCGTTTTTGTGAAATCTCGATGTACATAAAAACGCTGAGTCAGCATATTTAACAAAGCCGCTCATCCGGGTACTAATGGATTTTGGAGTTTCCCCCCTATCCGAAATTGACAAACACCAAATGATCATTTGTCTTCGGAAGTTTCTTGCTTTTATCAAATTTGCACGGTACTGGAAAAGTTGGACTTAGTCGCCTCTCAATAATCCGAGCTAATGCGGCAAGAATACAAAGGCACTTGGACTCATGCACAAATATTGACTTTCATCTCAAGGAAGGCCAAAAGAAGGCCATGGTCAGGCTGCAGCAAAGTACCCATGATTAGGCCTAATCAGCGGCCCGGGTAATAGGGAACAGTGGCGTGTGGTACATGAAGTCTACACCTCTAATTTTAGACTATGATAGCCGTAACAGCATCACCAAAGGCCGCATTCAGAAGAGTGGACTTACTAGTTCGCGGGCCATATATGGCGACCCACTGAAAAACTTGCCGTCTCATCCGCCAATAGACACTGAATAGATTCCCCGCGGGGAAGTATTCAAGTGAGTCAGCCATATTTGACCCTCGGACTAGATAGTCCGCTGTTCTGAATGCGACCATAGATAAGAAACAAGAACAATTCTTATCTCGCGATCGATTGTTGTTCAAAGAAGCTTCCCGTGAATAACTCCGACCTTAACTCTGTGCCATAGATTATACGTTTAAATGTACGTAAAGGATAACAATTTGTTTCTAGAAAACCTTTAGAAATGTTCAGTTCATTTTTGATGCTGTGTCTCACGAACCATTTTGAACACAGCAAAATAATCATTTTGTCATTTATACAACGTTATTACAGTAAGTTTAGCCTTTGATGTTGTTTGCTCGTGATCAGACATGTTTTTACACGGAAGTAGAATTTCATCGCCTTTAAAGCATGACCTTGGATGCACTATTAATGTTTTTCTCAGTAGGATAAACTAAGATTTTGTGAAATGTTGTATAACCGGCAAGTTTATGCCATTACTAATTTATAGGTTAAGTGTTAAGGTTTTAAAACAAGAATATGGGGTATCTCTCGTCCTTATCCGAAAACTGTGCTAGTCTAATGATTTTAGATCAAACAAGTTCATTGCTGAAATTAAATGTTCGTCAAGATGTATGAATATCAACACTAAATGCAATTCCCTCATGATCGGGCTCTACTTCTGCAGTTCACACTTACATGACTTTTGACATACCTTTGTGATAATCTGTAAAAATGGCAGATCAACAAAATCATTGGCACACTAGTATGCATTTTACCACCGGATATGACCCGTTACTTGTGTTTATCTTACCCTTTGAATAAGGGAAGTGCATGGAAGAGACACGTGACTTACGTTTGCTAGTGCTTAGCAGGAATATAGTTGCAATTTGGCATCTTTATAATAACTCCCTGGTTAATATGTAACCACTAGTGATGAAAGAGGGATATAAGAGGCATGGTGGTGGTTTATGATATGTGTCAAGAAAGCTTACAACACATATTACGACCAAAAATGAAACTACTACAGCACAGAGGAAAATGTATGTTACATATTATACCAGTAAACAAGTGCAAGTACAAATTGAACTTGCGGAAAAAAAATAAATGGAATATCTGTGAGGCTTTGTTGTTGTTTGTTGGCCAAATCTACAAAACTAAAAAGTATATAATTAGAAAAAATACCCCTGTATGTTGATAGAAAATTAGAAATTTACACCAGCAAAGAATTTTATCAGCTTTGTGCTGCATTCAAAATTATGTTGATAGGTCTTTCCTACAACAGCTATAATTCACAAATTTTACCACACCAGCATTTCAATGTCTCACAAAAAGGACAAATGAATGCTGATATTTGGCAAATTACGAGAACACAAATAGTCCAATGTGATAGAGTTCAGTGTGTCGATATGTTTTGTTTATCATGGCAGTGCCAGCCAAACCTAATTTTCGTTGAGGATCTGGACTGACCAATTTATTCCTCTGGGCCCGGTTTCATCAAGGCTGGATAGGCTATCCTGTGGATAACACTATCCATGGTATAAATCTCTTATTCTCTGGATAGTTATCCTCTGTGTAAATTTGTGTTTCATAAAGGCTGGATAAAGAGCATGATAGTAATACAATGGATAAAAATTTATCCAATACCATATTTGGAAAAAGACATTCCCATAATGCAGTTGGTTGCTATAAACATTATAAAAGCCATGATAGTTGCTAACAAAAAGTGGTCTATACCATATTTGGAAAATAAATAACCCATAATAAACAATATTTTAAGTATATTTCAAGATGGTACATTCATTGAAATAATGGGGAAAATATCTACAGGATATTTTAGTGTCAGTGTCAATAACACATCACATTGCATTAGTTGTGCCTCATGCAATGTTTACACAGATTTGAAGTTGAAGGGCAAGGTCGTGACATACTTTCTAACAAAATGGCTGACTTGGCACATTTGGCAGATTCTGTCAATAGCAGTGTAGACATTTTTCGTCGATTTAAAAGGTATGTTTTAGTAAAATAAAGATAATTGGTCTCTCAGGGAGATTGCATGGGTTTTGTTCGTAGTAGGCGCGATATCAACTTTGATAACGTCTGTTATGTAATCTATTGATTCAGCATCACTTAAATCATCAAAAGCAAACATACATCTTCTAAAATTCTCTTTCTAATCATTCTACGCCTGTGAAATCTCATAGGATTTACTTCCAAAGCATTTTTGATGATTTAACAGCATGATAGCAGATTTATCCCACCTATTTCGAGCGGACAACTTTATCCTCTGGATAAGCTGATTTATCCCCTGGATAACGCTATCCACTGTTGATGAAACGCACTATCCTCTGGATAGCTCTATTCAGAGGATAGCGGCCATTTTAGCCATAGGATAGCGCTATCCAGCCTTGATGAAACCGGGCCCTGGTTTGTATCCGATAAAAAACTATATGGGATGCCTAAAGCCTCGGTCACAACCGGACGCACGAATTTCAGGATCGTACGTCTCCTGCGATTTTTGGGTGTTGCGGAGGCCGTGGAGGTCGTAGAGGTAGAGGAAAGTCTGCCTTGCGAGTCGCAAGGGCCATATCAGATGTCCTTTCAAGCAGGGACGCTAACTGCAAGGAGCGATGGCCGTGGAAATTGTACTCATTTCTTGAGTTTGTCTTGCTTCCTGTGTACGTGGCACACACTCACCACTTACGAAGGGAATGCAACGAAAGTAGTGCCCTTTTGAGTCAGTTTTGATTCACACTTGCCTCACACGTTTGTGGTGACGTACTGACAGCGTACGTCAGTTTTGCTTCCTGTTCTCTTCTTTCTTCCTCCTCCCTTTTTCTACTATGTAAGCTTCTTTCTCTTGTCTTTTGGAGGCATATTTGAAACTAATTTGATCTATCGACTTTGTT